ATAAATAAATAAAAGAATAAACAGCACAGGAAATGGTATACATAGGAGACTTTTTATCGGACAGGTATGGTGGCTCACACCTACAATCCCAGCAATTTGGGAGGCCAAGGAAGGAGGATCGCTTGAGCCCAGGAATTCGATGCTATACTGAGCTGTTATCACACCATTGTGCTCCAGCCTGGGTGACAGACCAAGATTCTGTCTCTAAAAATAAATAAAAACAAAAAAATTTATAACAAAGACTTTTATCATTTATTAATTTCTGAAAAAGATAACTGACTGTTTAAAGTAGTAGCTGGCAAACTACAGCCAACAGGCCAAAAATGGCCTGCTTGTTTTTACACAGCCTGAAAGCTAATAATGCTTTCATATTTTTAAATGGTTGAAAAAAAATCCAAAGCTTATTTTGTGACTCAGGAAAATTATACCACATAAAATTCAATTTTGTCCCATGTGAAAGTTAAACAGAGGTTTACTGCCACCCAGCCACACTCATTAGTTTGCATAATGCCTATGGCTGTTCTAGTACTATGACAGTAGGGTTGAGTGGTTGTTACAGAGACTGTGGGGGGCCCTCGAAACCTACAATATTTTATCATTTGGCCCTTCACAGAAAAAGTTTGCCAATCCCTAGTTTAAATATTTTTTAAAAATCATATATTATAGGGCTTAAGATATATGCATAATATATGCATAATCTCTAAAGGTTACATATTATATGCTTACATTTCTATAACATTCTCAAAATTAGCAAAAACAGAGATGCAGAAGAGCTTAGTGGTTGCCAGAGGACAGGCACTGGGGGAAGAAAGAGATGAGAACAAAGGGGCAGTGCGAGGGGTTCCTGCGAGGGGATGGCCGGCTCTGCAATCGACTGCGGTAGTTACAAGATCCTCCGCATGGGCTAAAACTGCACAGATCTACACATGCGTGTGCACGCAAAGAATGGTAAAATGAATAAGGTCTGTAGCCTAGTTAACATTAGCATACCAATGTTTATTTCCTGGCTTTGATACTGCATGACAGTTACAGAAGATGTCATCTTTGGGGGAAGATGGGTGAAGGGTACATGGAAATCTATGTATTATTTTTGTAACTCCCTGTGAGTCTGTAATTATTTCAAATTAAAAAGTCTGAAACAATACACAGAAGACACAAAACAATAGCAAAAATGGAGAGAATGAAGGCACTGTTAAAAGATTTGTACATTACATACAACATGGTATATTATTTGAAGGTAAACTGTGATTTTAAAAATATATACTGTAAACCCTAGACCAACCGCTCCCTTTAAAAAAAAAAAGGGTAAATCTAATCATCCAAATGAGGCCATAAAACAAAATACTAAAAATTATTCAATTAATCCAAAAGAAGTCAGGAAGAGGAGAAAATAAGGGGAAAAAACAGAGCAAAGAGCAAAACGGAATACTAAAACCCAATTATGTCAATAATTACATTAAATGTAAATAGTCTAAACACGCCAATTAAAAGAGATTGTTAGACTGGATATGACGTGTAAAACAGAAGCACTTAAAACGTAAAGACAAAGTGTAAAAGGATAGAAAAAAGATATACCATGCAATCACGAACCCTGAGAAAACTGGAGTGCACATATTAACACAAGAGAAAGTCAACTTTAGGACAAGGAATAGTATCAGACTGAAAAATGAGAAGTCTCATTTTAAAAGGGTCAATTCATTAAGAAACCTAACCATCTCCAATGTATATGCACCTAACAACAGAGCTTCAAAGTATCTTCAGCAAAAAATGACAGAACTTGAAGGAATAAACAGACAAAACCACAATAATATGGGGAGATTTCAACACTCTTGGAACTAAAAACAAGTAGACAGAAAATCAGTAAAGGACTTGAACGACCCTATTAACACTACTGATATTTATAGAACACCTAACAACTGTAGCATATACACCATTTTCAAGTACACATGGAATAATAAAGCCAAGCAAATAACATGGAATATACTTCATTATTATCATCATAAATAAATCAGCAATAGCAGCATTTTATTTTCATATCCTAATAATGTAACTTCATGTAGAATGACAAAAAATTGAGAGAAAAAGAGGAACTAAAGATCAATTGTGAAGACAAGTTCCATCTGAGTAGTTTTTCCTATTTATGTGGCTATCTAATGATGTTATCTATATGGCTATAAATAAATTACATTAACGAAGTATGAAATTTAAGTCAGCAAAGCTTCTACAATTTACTCTCATTTATTGAAGCAGTCTGAAAACAATTCCAAGTAAATATTATTCTGTAATGTACACATTTTTTCAGAGGAAGATATCTTTTTTTTATCATTAAAGCCAATGTGCAATCATCTATGTTAAGAAAGAACACAGGCAGAGAGCCAAATAAGAAATTTTAAAAAATTACTTAAACAATATTTGGCCCCAGAGTTTATTACGTAGTTCTTTTATTTCTGTTTTTAAATCAGCTTAGACATCTTTCTCATGTCCTCCTTAGGTCACAGGGGAGAAGGCAGTGCACACTGGGTGGCACTACAGGGAACTCATGAAAATCAGATTCAAAGAACCCCACTATCCTAGGCCCCCAAAGTAGTAACGATTCTATCACCACTTTTAGATTATGTAAACACATACATTCTAGAATAACAGAGTAATGTTAATAAGAACGTCAGCATGTTTGGAAATGATGTTTAGGCAAATGGGCCACGGACAGCCTTTCGCCAGCACCCACTCATGCCTCTGTCTGACCAGCGGGACAGGCGGAGTTTCTTATCAAACACTCTCAAATCTGACCATAAAGCACCTAAGGGCTGTCTCTGTCTGAGGTGAGCGAGGCCTTACAGAAGAGGTAACTCAATGCTCGAAGCATCGCTGGTCTCTGACACCAAACGCTCCTCCACCTCCTGAGTGTCCCAGCCATTCCCAGCGGAGAGCGACAGGCCCTGCCTGACTCTGCACGCAGTGCTAACATCCTCTCAGTCTGACTGCTCTGCTCACTGAGGGCCTTCTCCATACTCTTGTTGATAAGTACGCAATGGAAACACAGACAGGAAAAACATAAAGAAAAACTGTGCTTATATTATAAATAATGTACTAGATTGTGTAAAATTATTTTATGAAAATCACATTTTGAGGGAAGACTAAGTAGACACTGTCTTCTAATAATAAGCATAACCTACACGCCTACAGGAAGAGTTTTCACATTCTTTAAAAAACACAAATCCTTTTAAGGCATAAAATATGACATTTTATAGAACAAGGGTTTCTTTTTTTAATGAATGCTGATCAACTGCTTGCTAATTAAATATATATGTCCCATGGTTTTTATACTTAAATTGTTACAGATGTCAGTGGTATTCCCAATTACACATTTCACAGAGAAACAAAATCCTATTTAATTGTCTCCATGTCCTGAAAGAATGTATTCTACTTCATCTGGCCAGTTTCTCAGAATTCAACTCCAAACAGAACCACAACAAAGAGAGACCAACCGGTTCTTACCTTTACAGCCCCCCAGCAGGAGCGAGTAGACACGCTGTCGGACGGGACGGTAAATGAAGGCCTGGCTGGGCAGGGCCTGGTCCAGCTCATCCTCCAAGGTGTTGCTGCACTCGATCTCGCCACTGCTCATGATGCTGTACACCAAGTAGCTCTCTGCTTGGACATGATGGGTTCTAGCAACCTGTTCAGAATTTAAACAAAACTGCTTTCTCCTTGAAAACAAAAGTAACCTTCAAATAGAAAAAGTCAGTGCCTTTTATCATATGCCACTTGTTTAATGCCCTCAGAAATGGAATAACTGCCACTCAAACTCCTGACACCAAGCTGGCGTTTATGTTCACTCCTTTGGGCCACCAAGTTCGAAACCTGGCTCACCTTGTCCTCCCGCCCCACCTCCGACCCTCTGCCAGGCTTGTCTCATTCCCTGCTGCAGCACCTCCTCCTTTTGTCTCCTCCACACGCCCCCAGTAACCAGGTGCTCACTACTGTTCACTGCTGCTGCTACACAAGGCCACAACCACCCCTCTTGGCCGTTTCTCCCCCTTCAACCCATCCTTCACACCACCGCCATATTGTTTTTCTGTAAAAAGGTACAACTGGTACCCTCTTCAAAACATCTGAGTGGCTACCACACATTCGAGGCCCCATTATAAGGCCTCAATCTCCTTTTTCTAGCCTTAAACACCATCTCACCCTCACAGAAACTGCAATAACCCAGTGATATAGTTTGGATGTTTGGTCCTTCCAAATTTCATGCCGAAATCTGATCCCCAGTATTGGAGGTGGGGCCTGGTGGGAGGTGTCTGGGTCACGGGACGGATCCCCCATGAACGGCCGGGTGCCCTCCCTGAGATCATGAGGGAGTTCTTGCTCTGCTAGTTCACGTGAGAGCTGGCTGTTTAAAGGAGTCTGGCAGCCCTCGTCCCTCTCTTGCTCCCGCTCTCATCATGTGACATACCTGCTCCCCCTTTACCTTCCACCTTGATTGGAAGTTCCCTGAGACCTGCACAGAAGCACTTGCTGGCGCCACGCTTCTCGTATAGCCGCAGAACCATGAGTCAAATAACCTCTTTTCTTTATAAATTACCCAGTCTCAGGTAGTCCTTTATAGAAATGCAAAATGGACTAACGCATCCAGTCTCAATGGAACATCTTCATTGCTCCTCAAGAATACTCAATCCTCTCCCACCTTTGCTTGTGCTCCATAAAAACTTAATCCCACACAGAACATCTTTCCCTTCCACCCCTTCACAATCCTCTTCTCCCTTTAAGTTTCACTTAAAGTGTCACCTTCTCTGTGAACCCTTTCCTCCTCCCCCAACCAGAACCACCCCCTTACCTCAGGGAACTCAATTCGCATCCTCCCTACACTACTGCGACCTCACCTGACCTCCCTGTTAAACTATGAACCGCTTGGGATTAGCAGCTGTACAGCATTCATTCATTCACTTGTTCAATGATTGTTTACTGAGCAAAAACAAAGTGCCAGGCACATCTGCTTCTCCTGTGCAATGCCAAGACAGTGGTGGCACAGAGGAGGTGATGAGATGTATAACTTAAATTGATTCCACCGTCTCATTAAGTAGCTAAGATCAGAAGGTCTGTAATAACCTACATGGGGGACAGGATCAAGATACCAACGAGACAGAGGCAGTACGTGCCTCCTCCATGAAGAACCGGAATAGCGGGTGGATTCTCACATACTGGACGGATTGTCTAGGAGAGGACTATCCTGCCCGGTCCACTGCAGCTACCACTAACACCAACACAGAGGAGCCAGAACAGCCAGCAGAATTTCACAAACTGAACAGATCGTCTAGGATTCACCAGGGAAGCAACAGGAACCACTGAAAGTGGGTCTTGGGCCTAACACAGGGAGCTGGAGGAGACTGCAGAGATGCTGCTCCAACAAGGGGAACCACATGGAATGCCACAGGTCCCGGAGCAGCTTGAGCCAGGCGCCATCCTGAGAACCCAGACACCAGGACATCGTGGGCACGCCTGCAGCCATTGCTCAGCTCTGAGGAGGGACAAGAGGAGCCCAGGCACTCCCATGCACCCCTCGGAAGGCCCCTACCATCCTCCCACGGGCTGCTTTTGAGACTGGGACGTGAGCAGACAGCACTTTCCAGTCTCCTGCCCATGCTGTCTGTGTGGGTGGGGCCCCAGCCTTTCTGGTCACAAGTCCAAGGTGCCCTTTTGAGAATTTGACACTGGCCTGTGCCCTGCTCTCAGGCTGAGTTGGGGCTGCAGCCCCCATCCGGCTGGGGAGGGCAGGAAAGCAGGCTTTCCTGTGCCCATTGGGACGGTGCCCACTGCCTGCAGCTAGCTGCTGTGGGACCAACTCTCACGCAAACTGAACTCCTGACGCTTCCTGCCAGCCCAGCCTGCTGGAAAGGGCCCCGCCCTTTCTGGGCACAGGCTCAGGTTGCCACTTTGGGAGTTCAAGGCTGGGGAGCACCCCACCCTGAGGCTGAGTTCAGGCTGGCACAGCCGCAGCCCCGTGTACTTCCCAGGACAATTCCCATCACCCTGTGGTGAGTGACAACACTCCCCCCAGCATTGCACCCATGCTATTTGCCTGGAGGGAGCGCCATCCTCTCTGGTCACAGTCCCAAGGCACCACTTTGGAGTGCAGAGCTGGGCAGTGCCTCGCCCTCGGGCCAAGTTTGGGCCAAAGCAGTCCTGCCCAGCTGGGGAGGGACGGGGGGACCAAACTCCCCTACACACACCTAGGACAATTTCCATGGTCCTGCCACAGGCTCCTGTGTGACTAAGACCTGAGCCCACAGCACTCCTCAGAGTTTCTTGCCTGAAATGGGCTGCATCCACTTTGATCGCACCTCCACAGCCAGCACCATTTTGAAAGCTTAATGCTGGGCTGTGCCCTGTCCTCAGGCCGAGCTCAAGGTGACATGAATGTAGCTACTGCCTGGCCAGTGAGGGACAGGGTAACCCAAGCTCTCCTAAGCACACTTAGGACAATACCCACTGGGACTAGCCTGCCCAACCCACTGCAACTACCACCAACACCAACATGGACCACCTGGGTCCTAGCGAGCAGCTCCAGCACCGCTACTGTCGCCTCCCACATCACACCAGCTGCTCAGGGCCTGAGAGCCTGCCCACACACCCGACCCTCTGCTCCAACTCCCAGCTTCTAAGCAAGCCACCTAAAGGCCCAAGAATTGGCCCCCCCAGGATACACTAACATCGCTGCCAGTGTAAGCTGCCCTGGTGCCTAAAATCAGGCACACTCAGCCAACTGCTGCCACCACTGGGCCTAAACACTGGCTCCGCTGCCATCTGAGTTCCCAGGAAAACTTCACCACACCAACTAATAATTGTTCCTTAAGCCACTACAGAAATCAGATACCACTGGCCATGTGTACTGCCCAAGAAATCATACAGAGACCACACTACTGCAGGCACCAAAAATCAAAGCCAAAGT